GGGGGGGGGGGCGGGGGCTGTTTTTCTCATTAAGGTGTTTAAGCTCACAGGAGAAGGGGGCCAGCAAGTGAAATTAAATACACATATGGGGGGGGGGTGGTTGTGAGCTTCAGATACACAAGAGATCTCAGCTTCAGGTTCGAGGGCTTCGGTCACAGGGACTGCCATCGTTAAAGAAGGTCAGCGTGTCTCTCTAATCCGTCACAAGGGCAGGCATCATGTTTACGGGGGTGCGGAGGTGGGGGGGGGGGGGGGGGGGGGGGGGGGGGGGGGGGGGGGGGGGGGGGGGGGGGGGTCAACCCCATGCTGACTACTGCAGGGTGCATAGGGGGCTGGCAGGTTCTCAGTCCCACCCGCAGTGTGGCGGTGACACACAGGAGAACCTCGTTTACCCTTGTGACGCTCGTCCTCGGGGCCTGGCTGCTCTCGGGGTGTCAGGAGTGTTTTAATTAGGGTTAATGTCCTGGGGGCGCGTTTCAGCCACACACTAGGGGCCTCTGTGTCACCATTCAAGGGGATAAAAGTAAGAGATGTTTGTGCAAAAGCCTTTGGTTATTTTCCTATTTTTACATCAGAAACAAAAGTGAGTTTGTTTGCTGGCCTGTGTGAGTATTAATAGACACGGCTGGCCGTTGTCTCCTGCAGGAATTCACTAGACGCGGTTTTCAGACGAGTCCGGCCCATCCTTCTCTTTTTTTTTAGAGTGCACATTTAGAAAAGCTTCTTCTGAATGGGATCTTTGTCCACTTTGAAAAAAGCATTTTCATATCTAAGATGCGAAGAAAATCCCATTAATGCGTATAAATGCATTGATAGGATGAGGAAATTTTCACTTTTTTAAAAAAGACATGTGAACACATTCATATGTATACTTATTTTATTTTAATTATAAATAGCAATAGCACTGTATTTGTACATGAGAAGCTGTACATTGAAATGATTCTGTACAGTCATATGAGAGGAAAAAATGCAAAAATAGTTGCCATTTCCTGTCATGATTAATGATAAACACACAACGTGAACAGAAATGGGACTGAGCTGACTCTGCCCGCCTTGTTAACGTGTTTATCTTCCCAAGATGGAAGACACTGGTGTTGGGGTAACTTTGCCTAAATGCCATTGTGACATCATGAGAGTCTTACACACACACACACATACGCGTGAACGAACACACGAGTCAATGCATGTGATCAGCACTTAGGAATAAATAAGGCTACAATACATCAGTCTGATCTTTTTTATACACAAGTACTGCAGTGAAAACACACCGGACTGAAACAGCAAAACAAAACAATTTGGCTTTGTGGTGCCTCGTAGGGGAAGCGTGTTTTAATTCTTTTGACGTCTTTTAAATGGCTCCATGTGTGCTTGTAATGACATTAATGGATCACATGAGTGGACGTGTCTTGCAGCAGTTTCGTCCTTTCCTTTTTATTTTCTTTCTTTTTTTCCTGCCTTCTCCTTTCTGCCTGAGCGTGTCCCGCTCAGTGCAGCGCAGCGCAACGCAGACACCCGCAGGGGGCGCTGCTTTCCTCTCTCCTATG